ACCCTGAGACGATGACCTGAGCCACAATCAAGAGTTGGACGCTTAACCAACTGAGCCACCCAGGTGCCCATAACTTTGTCTTTTAATTATGAATGGGATGAGATTTACCACTGTTAAAGTGTCCAATGCTACCGGAAAGCTCATACTGATAGTTTCAGATTTTAAAAAATACTGCCTAAATATTGAGCAATATATAGAATTGTTGAATCACTATATTGTATACCTGAAACTAATTTAACACTGTATGTTAACTATACAAGAAATAAAATAAAATAAAGTAAAATAAAATAAATACTGCTTAAATAAACACAACTATTTGTCAAGGAAGGTGTTTGAAGGTAACTAAATTCACTAAACAAGCTCTAGTGCATTAAAAAAACCACAACAGCTATTTTTTATTATTCTGATCTAGCCTTAACAGACATTGTAAAAGCTTTTAAAAATGGTCACACAACAATCGACATGTATAGTAATAATTAATTACTCTTTTGGGAAAAAGGAAAAACTATGGAAACAATTCTGCACCTACTATAAATTATCACAAAAAAACGCTGAAGTGAACCTGCCCAAACAAATGAACAAATATGATGAATCCACTGGTGTCTAGTTGGCATAGAACACTAGTATACTATACAGGCAGCAGTTTATTCCCAATTTAATGGGATCAGACTACAATATATACAAAATTTAAAAGTGTAACAAAGAAATCTAAAGTGACAAACCTCCCATATTGTGATAATATTCATAAAAATCAGAGAAAAGCATTAGATAGGACATATAACATTAAGATTGCAACACCTTCTTGAGGCTAGAAAGTCCCAAATGAAAACTTAGAAGTCAGAATGAAAACAGAGTTGATCAAAGGAAATTAGAAATTCTGGGAAAAAGTTCTAAAATACATATATAATATAGAGCTAGAAAGGAAATTAGATTTTGGGGGGATGAAATAAAAAATAGGAGACTGTAGGGACGCCTGGGTGGCTCATCAGTTAATTGCCTGCCTTTGGCTCAGGTCATGATCCAAGGGTCCTGGAATCGAGTCTTGCAACGGGCTCCTTGCTCAGCAGGGAGCCTGCTTCTCCCTCTGCCATTCCCACTGCTTGTGCTTGCTCTCTCTCTGACAAATAAATAAATAAAGTCTTTAAAAAAATATAGGAGACTGTAAGGGCCATGATTTGAATCACATAGAATAATAACTGGGGTCAAAAGAATAAAACAATGCAACTAATAAGGAACAGTCATAAAGTTATTATAATTTATGTTATTTTTATAGTGCTAAAGATGAACAGTTATGAACGACAGAGATGAATATAAATTACAGGGGGAAAAGTGCCTGTTTGATATGAGAGGACAGACAGCATGAACATTTTACACGTCTAAATAAAGTCTTGATTACATATTCTTTAGTAAGTTACATATAAAACATCTGAAATAAAACTGCTTTTTTATTTAAACTCTTGCCATATTTGCTAAAAAGAACAAAATTTTTGAGGTTTTGCATAAAGACACATGCAACATTAAAAAAAAAAGTGTAGGATTATAAAACAATGGTTGTTTTCCAAACAAACTGCTGAGTGTCATGAAAATAAAAATTCAAAGCAAAGACATAATGAAACTCTAGGAAGCAAATGAACATTGGTAATGAAAAGACCAAAACATTCAAGGCAGACCCACAGAAAATATTCATTAGCCATTTCTGTGAGTCCTGAAAAATGTACAGGAATGACTGGTGTGTAGCATCAACAGTTAGCTCATCAGTATCATGGCCAAAACCACATGATATTTGCAGATAAACAACTCACAATTCCATTTGCTTGCAGTTGACCTGATCTAATATAAACCTTTCAACATTTTGAAAATTCTTTTTTTTTTTTTTTAAAGATTTTATTTATTTATTTGAGAGAGAGAGAATGAGAGACAGAGAGCACGAGAGGGAAGAGGGCAGATGGAGAAGCAGACCCCCTGCTGAGCAGGGAGCCCGATGTGGGACTCGATCCGGGGACTCCAGGATCATGACCTGAGCCAAAGGCAGTCGCTTAACCAACTGAGCCACCCAGGCGCCCTAACCCATTCTATTTTAATTAGAACAGCTTAGGCTGTGGCCACACCAAGGCTACCAGTGAGCAAGGGAAAGCTAAAAGCCTTCAGGAATTAGGAGGCATAATACTCAAATAGGCATGTTGGTCTCTGAAGCTAACTTCAACACTGGTGAACAAAGCAAACCCTTTTCTTAAAATCTTCCACAAAAACGAAAGAAAGACAAACATTCAGAGTACCTCTTTGCACCTTGTATTAAATGCCATTTCCATCTTCCTTCTAGTTTCAGGGATACAACATTTCTTCATGACAGGAAAGTAGTGTGGATATTTTAAGGTAATTTTATACTTGTCATCATCTGTCTTTTCTAAACTGTCAATGAAATCATCAGGAAGAGCACCTGCAAGAAATCATTTTCTCATACATCAATTTTTCCACTCATTATTAGTTTATTTAGCATTGGCATGGTGCCTTTAAGAAGCTCTAGGAATTCTGTGGAGTAATTGAAATTCAAGTAAAATAATGACAACCCTTATAATATCATTTTGAAGCTACTGGAATGGGGGTGGTGATTAGAGGACAGGTGGCTTAGGAGACGGTAATTCAAATTATGAACAGGCTTCAGTGTACTTGTGCAGATGGTGTTTTGATGGAGAACAGGCAAAACTAAGCCAAGAAAGATCCAGAACAAATTAAGAAGAGACTAGTTTAAGTTATACTGTAGGGGATATTATAAGGTAAAAAATTTCAAGGCACTGAAGGCTGTTAAACACCAGCATAAGTTACCAAGAAATATTATGAAATTTCCTCTGGAGCATCTCTAGAAATAGTATACATACTTTTATTAGCATAAAATCTAGGCATGGTTCGGTTATCTTTTCTGTAGAAGGGGTGATAGGTTCTGTAGAAGGTACTGGATCATGTTTTAAAGAATTCTTTCAACCTTGATTTGGCAAACTGTGAGGTAACATTATTTTCCTAAATTATATTATTTAACCAGAAAAAACCCAGAATTTTACCAAGTTCAGCCTTGGAAAATACAAGGAAGGTATCGTCCTCATTGAGGTTTTTGTTGAAGTCAATACATAGCTCACTCATTCTTTTCTTCATTGCTTTGATTTCCTGAACAGAAGATACAAATATAGAACATTAACAATAAAAAGAAACTTTCATTTTTAATGCCATCAAATAAGTTTCACTTTTACATGAAGATTGGCTTCTATGCCCAACCCTCAGGAAGTATGTTTTTTAATGATGTGTTTCATAAAATAGTTTCCTGCCATCTTCTATGCTGTGTCCGTGAGGATCTGTATGCAACATGTACAAAAAGGCAATCCCAGTGATGTGTTAGAAATTAGTCATAAACTGGGTACCTAGGTGGCTCAGTTGGTTAAGCCTTCGGCTCAGGTCATGATCCCGGAATCCCGGGATCGAGCCCCGCTTCGGGCTCCCTGCTCAGCGGGGAGTCTGCTTCTCCCTCTGACCCTCTCCCCCTCTCATGCTCTCTCTCATTCTCTTTCTCTCAAATGAATAAAATCTTAAAAAAAAAAAAAAGAAATTAGTCATAAACTCGTAAGAAACTAAATAAATTTAGGAGGTTGAGTCAAAGCAGACTCAGGCACATAATATATACACACAATGAATAGTTGCTGGGTGAATAAATGATTCTAGTAGCCTGTTAATAATTAACATCTTTCAATCTTTTCCAATTCAAAGTTTTAATGTAGAAATCAGTATCTGGTGCTGAAGTAAACTGAGACAATTAATTCTATGGTTGCTTTGGAAAAAAGGTCATGTCTTAGTTTTATAGACCTTTGTAAACTAAGGTGATATGGGCCTTAACATTTGTATAAAAACTATTAGGTGTGAAATCAAAGGAAGCAAAAAAGGAAACCACAAGAAAAAACACGAAACATTTTTATTAACTTGTCCCATCTTCTAAAAATGCTAGATAATGAAATTTACATCAACCATAATGGTTCTCAAAGCATGGCCCTGACCAAAAGTGTCAGCATCACCTGGGAATTTGTTAGAAATGAATATTCTTGAGACCCACACCAAGCCAACTAAAACACACTCTCAGAGGTGGGATCCTGTACTCAGAGCTTTCACAGCTTTGCTGTAAACCATCACTTGGTTTGGATGTCTTTCACACTTGTTTCCTGTTCTACTGTGTAGAAGAATGACCTGGTAATTCTGATGTGCACTAAAGTGGAGTCTGCTGACTGAACACATACTGTGCAGCACTGTTTTTGGACACTCCGGTTGTCACCCCAAGCTCTCTTCCACCTTTCCCCCATTCTACACTAGCCCTGTAGATTGGGTGGGATCTGAGCCTATCTGAAGTTCCAGGGTAACTCTACAGCAGTTAGGTAGTCCCATCCCCACTAGAGTATTGACTGGTTCAGGTAAGCCAGGCCTGGCATTCTCCTGACTGAAGGGGGATTCAGGATTAGGCATATGATCCAATCTGGGCCATTAAGACACGAGGGGAGGTTTGAGGGAAGCTTCTCTATGTCCTTCTGGATGGTGGATCTTCTAGTTAATACAAGCAAATAAATCTCTTCTATTGTTTAAACTGTGTCAACAGAGTTTTGTCAGTTGTAAATACATTGCAACTAATACAATGCCTCAAACAGAAATGATGACTGACCTGGAAGACCAAAAGGTAAGGTAAGTGAGATCAGTCACACATTTCTCCTCTAACTAGGTTAAGAGGATACAAGGTGTTCGAAGGGCATTTACGTGACAGAAAGGTACCTGTATCTCAGTGGTACCTTCAGTTATATCTACATAGTAGTATGCTGACATCACCTGGTTTGGATGTCTTTCACACTTGTTTCCTGTTCTACTGTTTAGAAGAATGACCTGGAAACAGATCATGGGTTATATGTCCTGTCTAAGAAGAATGATTTAATTCTGTAGCTGGATTTACTTCTGAAACTGGAAGACCGGATTAGCATTAGACAAAAGAAAAAGTTTGAGAAGCACTTTTCAGTAGCTAATCTGTCTGCTTTTAAAGGGCATATGCAGTTGGTCCTTGAGCAACAGGGATTTGAACCATCCAGGGCAACTTATATACAGATTTTTTTTCAATAAATAAAGTTCAGTACTATAAATGTGTTTTTTCTTCCTTACGATTTTCTCAACAACATTTTCTTTTTTCTGGCTTACTTTAAGAAGATAGTATCTAAAACATGTAACATACAAAACACATCTTAATCGACTATGTTATGGATAAAGCTTCTGGTCAATAGCAGGCTGTTGGTAGTTAAGTGTTTGAGGAGTCGAAGTTATATGGATTTTTGAATGTGCAGGGGGGTTGCCACCTCAACCCCCAGGTTGTTCAAGGGCCAACTGTTTTAATCATAGGGTATTCCATTCCAAAGTGCTTATATTAAAACTCTCCATCATAAAAATTTTATTACCAGTGACCAAGGGAGTGTGGAGAGTGCAAATCAACTATTAAGACCTGGAACCAGCCATAAGAAAATGTAAAACAGAGCAGGGAAAATAAGCCCAGCACACATGAAACAAATATAATTTGCAAAGGATTAAAAAAAAAAAAAACAATTATCAGTTGTCTGTCAGTCACCATGAGATTAAGAGGAGTTGTAGAATTTAAAACCACTGACTACCAAATACATTGTAAATGGATTTGTATTATGCATTATTTTCCATATTACAAATGTATTGTTTCCCAACCTGTTTTTTGTTGTATTTTATTTATTCTTTTTTTCCCAGTAAGAAAAAGAAACACAAACTCACATTTTGTACTTGTTCTGGAAGATGGAGCCCATTCCTTTTTCCCATTTTAATGGACTTTTCCAAGTATCTTCTGGCTTCAGGTTTTATCTTACTCAGATCACATGTTTCCTGAAATGAAAGAGTGTGACAACCATTTCTGTTATAATAGTGCACGGGTAAATTATAAACTGTGAGACCAAAGCAAATTTATTCATCATCTCTGTTGGGTTATGAAGCACATAGGTGATTACAAGGCAGGTTCTTTTGAAGACCTAATTTCTTTTATGCTTTAGTGAGCTTTGCTCATTTAAAAGAGAAAAATTAATAAAAAGCTAACCAGAATTGCCTTGCCTTGCATCAGAATCAAGAGTGCCACTTGAAAGTGTGATAAAAGAAACATTTGCATAATCTCATTCTGAGCATTCTCTATGACCATGGTCTTTTTCAAAAAACATACTCCTTATCACAAATCATCTGGATTTAATTTTCCATCATTTGCTAACCTGGTTCCACTTGAGAGGCCGGAATAGAAATAACGGGCAAATTTTACACAAATGGAGAGTGGGACTCTTTTGCCAACATACCAAACAAGGACAGCTGGATAAAACCCCAGCCAAAGGCTTCCAACACTTCAAAAATGCTCTACTGTCATTTGGCAAGAGAGATCAAGAGACTACAGCAAGCAGCATATGAACAAGTATCTGGGGAAAATGAGTCAACACTGCACAAAAAGGAGGAAAGCTGGACAGAACATTTGAACCTGTATGCAGCAACACAAACAACATCACTCAAAAGAATGGGGGGCCCTCGAGGAGAATGGAAAATTCCCCCGGCAATAGCAAGGTAATAAAAATACCAGATGTTTCTTCAAAACAGGTGGCAGAATATACATGGCACATCTGGATGACTGGCCAGTTCATGTCCCTGGGAGGAAATGCACTCCGGACAGACTCAGCAGGTGTAATGGATTCAGTTTGGGTGAGAGCCAATGAGGGACATCTGTCTCCAGAGCCTTAGAGACCTACCATTGGGTGCACTCTCTCTCTCTCCATCAAGACCTGGGCTACCCACCCCTCAGCTTTATATTTTCCCAACGAAATACATCTTTGAAAGAACAATGTTTAGCTTTAGAGCCTGCATTTTATTTTATTTTATTTTTTTTTAAATTTTTTTTTAAGATTTTATTTATTTGCGAGAGAGAGAATGAGAGACAGAGAGCATGAGAGGGAGG